ACAATATGCATGTTGTTACATGGAAGGATAGTTATATAGACAAATATTAACACATTGACTGCCACGAACTAGAAAAAAATTTATTTTCCTTGAAGCCATGGTGTTTTATTATGAAAATAGAATAAAAACTTCAAAAACAAAATGATCCTTTCTAATTTAATGAAAAATTTGTTATTTTTTATTGTTTTCTATGAGTTATATGTTCTTGCAATTCCCAAAGTGAAAAGATACTTGAGTTACGTGTGCTTCATGGGCCCCGGGCTCAAAACTAGCATGAGTTAAATACAACTCACATGGCACTTAATGTGTTAAATATGAAATGTCTGATTTCCTTAAGTACTGTTTGACAGTTGATGTCTCTGACATTTCGCTTTGATACTTCTTGTTTTATGCTTATTGTGAAGGTACCTCCTCAGTCTTTCAAACGCACGTTTTGGCTTATGATTATCTTTCACATTTTTTTTTAGAGCAATTTTTGTGAAACCATGGATAAGTAAAAAATTCATGTTATTTTTGAATATGAGTTCCATCGTGGAACCAATGCTATGCAGACAGCTTGAAATATCAATAAAGTGTTTGGGAAGAACGTGGCTAATGAACACACAGTACCACGATGGTTTGAGAAGTTCCATTCTGGTGATTTTAATCTTCAAAAGGAACCACATGGTGGAACTGAGACCAAGGTGATAAGGATGAGCCAAAAGCTGTTGTGGAAGCGAATCCATCTCAGCTTACGCGTGAGTTAGCAGCAAGGTTTGACGTTACTATTCCAACAATACTGGACCATTGGAAACAAATCGGCAAGGTTAAGGAGCTGGATAGATGGGTTTCCCATGAATTAAACAAGCCTCAGAACTTGCCTTTCTCTGCTGTCACGACATAAAGGTGAACCACTTCTACGCCATATTGTGACGTGTGACGAAAAATGGATTCTTTCTGACAATCGCAAGTGTTCGGCACAATGGTTGGATGAAGACGAAGTGCCAAAACACAGTCCAAAACAGAATGTTCATCAGAAAAAGCTAATGGTGTCTGTGTGGTGGTCCAGCGCTGGTTTTATCCACTACAGCTGCATGAAACCTGGTCAATCGATTACAGCGGATGTCAACTAGAACCCACTGGATGAAATGATGAGGATGCTTGTGATTAAGCAGCTGAGCTTGGTCAATAGAGACAGGCCAATCCTCTTGCAAGACAACACTAGGCCACATGTCACACAAACAACGCTGCTCAAACTACAGAGGCTGGACTTGGAAACTTTCTGTCATCCACGGTATTCACCAGACCTACACCAAACTAACTACCACTTGTTCCGGGCTTTGGACCACTTATTGCAAGGAAAAATATTCAATTCTCAACTAGCTGTGGAAAACGCCTTTCGTGATTTCATCACCATTGGCTCTCCAGGCTTCTTCACTGCTGGCATGAACGAGCTACCGTTAAGATGGCAAAACTGTGTCCATAGTTTAGGTGCATACTTTGATTAACTGTACTGCTTCTTGTTTGAGATAGAATAAACTACACTTTTGGTTCGAAATCAGACATTTCATATTTAATGACCTAATATATTTTTTCCCAAACATTCTCATGTTACTGCTCAGGCTGGAGTCTCACCTATAGCCCAACCCAGCTCAGCCTGTACTTATAAATGAGCTTTGCAAGAACACGGTGCTGCCTGTTCCTTTACTATCCTCTGTGGCTTGTTTCTGGCTATGACACCAGAGTCAGAAGCTGCAACAGAGACCGTGTGGCCCACAGAGAAGACAACATTTACCATAACAACATTTGCCCCCTAACAGCAAAGAGCCGGCCCCAGTCTCAAGTCCTGGCTGACCCTTGACCAAACTTGCCAGGCTCCTCTGAGCTCTATTCTTGACTAGGCCTCAACCTCGGCAGAAAAAAACACAGACTTTCAGCACAAACGATTTCGTCCACCCCCACTGCCCTACCTGCCCAAGAGGTTCGGACAAACTCAGGCATAGTTCCTAACAGCTCAAGGCCACACCTCTAGGGTGAACTCAGCCCCCAGCAGCCTGCCGGAGAGCTCGGCATGGCCAGGGCCAGGGAAGTCACTGTTGCAGCCCAAACCTGGTGATGTTGCAGGTCCCTGGGCCCCCTTCGAGCAGTTCCTTTAGCAAGCTTGCAACTGTGAATCCCTTCTCTGCCCTTTGAGATGCAAACGCTCCACCCAGAGCTGCCTCACAACAGGGGAGGCACCTTCGCTCTCCAGTCCCTGCTGGGGTTAGGGCCGGACTCAGGGGGGGCCAGCTCCAACACGCACCACCGCCCCTCGTGAAGACGCCAGACATGTGTTCCTCCTCTGGACACGGCCAAGCAGCACGCCCAGGCGGTCTCCTCACACCCAGCACACAGGCCTTGAGAACGTCTCTTGCCCTTTGTCTTGGCACAGCTGAGTCCAGCTGGCGCCTCGTCCCTGTTGCGAAGTCTACCGCTGATAAAACCTGTCCTGCCCCTTTAACAGCGCCCACTTGTTCATCTTTGACAGCCTGTGTCTGCCATGACGCCAGCTGCGGTCTGCGCCTGCTCTGAGCTCCGACCCGACCCGAGACCAGAGGCAGCCAAAGGCAGACTTGATGAAAATCTGATTGACTGAGGCGACAACGCAGCGGCGGGCTGAGGCGCAGAGGGACAGCGGGAACCCCGAGGTCTGCGGGGGGCACCGGGCACGCTGGGCTGCCCTTTAACAGGTGCTGCGTGGAAGCACCGGACCACAGGCAGGGCGCGCAGAGCCGCGTCGCAGGGGCTGTATCAGGGCCTGCTCTCCCAGGCGGGGTGAGCGCCCCTCGCTTTGCCCCTCGGGCCCCAGCCTCGCCTGGGTTGGCCTCTCATCCCCACCAAGGCGGTGAGTCTGCAGCGGGGCATGTGGTCGGCCCCTCGCCCAGGGCCCCTCGCCCAGGGCCCTACTCCAGAGTCCGGACAGGAAGTGGGCCTGGCCGGCTCTCCCGCTTCCTGCGCTGGCCATGCCGTGAGCAGCAGCCACGCTCGGGCCGCCCACCCTCGGCCTCGGAAACCCCCTCCTCACACCCCGCCCAGCTCCCTCTTCCTCACCTGCCACTGGGTACCCCCACCCCACCCTCCGTGACCCCAAGCCCCGGCCGTACCGCGCCCTCCCATCAAGCCGGGAGCATCTGCCTGACCATCCCCTCTCTGGCAGGGCCACCTGCCTCGGCAAGTGTCCCTGCGCTGGACCTGTTGTCGGAGAGACCACGCGGAGCCTGTGCCACCGAGCGTCCTTCCTGCACCAGCCAGGTCCCCTCAAAGCCCCCCAGGCCTGGCCGCCCCGCCCCTGCCACCACTGCCCTTGTGAGCGTCCCTCCCGCAGTGACCGGGCACTGGGACGCGAGCATGGCACCGCGGACACCCAGGCACGAGACTCACGACCAAACCCACGGAGACAGAGGAGCCACGCAGAGCCCTTGGCTGGAGCGTCGCCAGCCCCGTCCTGGCCCACACAGCCCTCCTTTGACACGGGTGCCCAATTAAACGTTTCCTGTATTTACTTTAAAACCTTTCCCCCGTCATAAATTAGCGAACCTGTGTCCAAGGAAACTAAGAACAAAGCACTCACAGGCGGGAGCAGCCCCTGGCGGCCGCGACGTTGAGCATGGGGAAGGCGTAGATGACGAAGCGCAGCTCTTTGTGCGGAAGCAGCGAGTACAAAGCTACGAAGCCCAGAGCCGGCAGGACCAGCGCGTGGGTCCTTCTGTCCACCATGCCCAGGGGCACGAAGAGAAGGCTGCACCCCAGGCCACGGGGCAAGGCCGAGTAGAAATACCACAGGAGCGGGGAGGTCTTCAGGTGGGCGGTTAAGGAGGCCACACGCGTCAGCGATCAAGGTACCCATCCGCGAGGAACCACGGCCGGGCGACAGGATGGAGGCTGAAAGGTGTCCAAAGACGGCTGTGCTGACAGATGCAACCGGGACCTGGGCATGGACACGGCGCGGGCCTCGGGTGGCCTGGGCCGCGCCCTCCAGGTACAGCCAGGACCAGGCACGTCCCCTCCCAGCAACCAAGGCAGCTGAGGGCCCCACACCCAGGGCTGCATAAAGTTCTTTTATCTTTCCCTATTTTTTTTAACTGTAAAAATGGATTATTGTGAGTGATGTGTGCCTTGGGGATTCATTATGTTGTTCTTTCTACTTGCGTGTATGTCTGAAATATTCCACAATAAAACGCTTTTAAAAAGCAGATTATCCTGAGGATTAGAGGAGAGGCCGGGACTGCACGTGCAGTGGTTTCCACAGGGCTGGCGCGGGAGCGAGGACCTCCCAACCGGCGTTTCCCAGGGATGGGCGGGCGGGAGGGAGGGGCGCGCGGCTGGGAGGAAAAGCAGCCGGTTCACACGCGCCATCCCCCGGCAGAGGTACTTAAAGGATACTCCCCAGTTGGAACTTTTATTCAGGATGGTGTTGTACCAAAGCACCTTTCCTTCAGGCCACACAAGCTGTCGCCAAAAATAGGAGTCTACGGCAACCGTCAGTCCTATTAAAATAAGAAGTTCCTCAGTAGTGAACACAGCCCCTACAAGGCCACGCTGACTCTGCTGAGCGAACGACAGCCATCAGCTATGCCGTCAGTGAACGAGCCTACAAAGCAGCCTCCCGGCACCACGAAACCGCAAGCCACTTTCACGTGGAAAAGCTGACTGGTTGGGGACAGCACTTCCTGAGCCCGTCCCCTCAGCCCGCAGCTTGGGAATAAGCTGCCCTGCTACTCTCGTGTCCTCCCCCAGCCTCAGCCAGGCACGGAGGACAGGGGCACAGACAGAGGCTCCAGGGCACGAGGTTGGGGCCCTGCAGACCCCCAGGCAGACAGCTTAGAAGGACCTGGACTAAGACGTTTCGGTACTGCTAACAGTTAAGGTAACTTTATTTCACGGAAAAAACCAAACTCCCAAATTCCTCGTCATTGTTGTAAGACAAGGCAAAACAAAGTCCAGTTAGAAGCATCCCACCGTGACAGTGACTCACCTAAGCCAAGGATCCCAGCCGGGACGGCGTGACGGAGCAGCCTGAGCACGGGGAGCTTCCTGCTGTGCAGCGGGAGCAGCAGCATGAGGCCCAGCAGCAGGCCCAGCTCAGCCCTGAAGACGAGGATCGCGAACGCCGAGAGCCAGATGAAGCGGGCCCAGCCGTGCCGCAGCCAGGCCGCGAGGGCCAGCAGCACTGCAAGACGGCGTGGGAGGGATGCTGGTCAGATGTGTCACACAAAAGTCGTTCCAGAAAACAAGCAACAACCGCTCAGAACTGCTGACACAGGAGCCCCCACTCACGTCATTTGCTAGAAAGTCCCTCCCAACCCAGCACCAAAAACAGAGAACCCCAGTTTCTGATCGCAGACTGCCCTGGGCCAGCGTTTCTGGGGAGCCCAGTGGGGAGTGGCTGTCATCGGGTGGACAGGCCTCAGATCAGACGTGCAGCACCCTGACTGGGCGAGCCCCCCACTGGCGACGGAGGGCGGGGGCCCAGCGCTGGGTCTGCAGGCGCAGCTGGGCAGCTACGTACCCACGGGCAGGGCCAGCACGTTGGGCAGTGTCCGAGTGCAGTAGAACATCAGGTGGAACTGTGTGGCTGTCACCCAGCAGAACATGGTGGCCACTGTGGCCCCAAACTGTCGTCTCACTTCTTTTTGTAACGTCCAGAGTCCAAAAATCACGCCAAGTCCAAGGACTCCTCTAACTAAAGAAACAAAGAAAACAACACACGGTGACCCTGCAGGGGACGGGGAAGCCAAACGGCCTTCCCAAGTGCTACTTGCAATGGCAAGTTAGGTGACGGCACAACCAGCCTGAGAGGGAGCTGCGTTTGGTTTTGAAAACAGACCCTGGCGCCTGCGTTCCCGCTGGGAGCCGCCATGCCAGACGCTAAGGCTTCACCACAGGGCCACGCGGGCTCTGGGGGCTGCTCTCCAACAGCTTCAGGGAGGAAGTTGGCCACCCGGCAGCACAGGCAGCCTTCATAGGATGGTGCAACGAGCCAAGTCCTGCGCTAAACCAGAGACCCCCGCATGGCCGAGACACCTCCAAGGTGCAGGATTCTCGAGGGCCTGACTCAATCCTACTCTGACCTGCAGCCAGGACCCGGTGGGAAGGCAGGTCTCCAGGGGGAGGAAGCCGACTGGGGGCTGTCCCTGGCCGGCGGTCTTGGCAAAAGGTGAGGACCTGGGTATGCCCAGGATGGTGCCTGGAGACCACCCAGCCTCAGTGACCGGCCCGTCAGCTGCTGGGCTGCTCCGCCATCTTTCTGGAAGGCCAGAAGAAACTTCGCAGTCCCCATGTGAGAGGTAATGGGGTCCAGGCAGCTGTGGGGACTGAGGGAGCCCAGGGACCTTCAGGCTTCCGAACAATGAACCTGCCATTCCCAGCACAAAGCCAGCTTGGACCCCAGGCGTTTTTCTTTTATGTGCTGCTGGATACTGATTGTAAATGTCTTACATGGGAATGTTTTTAACTGATGTCCACCACAAGGATCTAATTTTAGTTGCTGTAATTTTGGTGCTAGAATTCTCATTTTGGTTCTTTTACAAAGTTGACGGTGCTCTGGCAAAGTGCCCACCTGTCTCTGACTTCCGTCAAGTGCACGTCTGATGAGCCCATGACCCGCACCCCGGCTGCTCTCGGTCCCCATCTTGCTGAAGTCTGCCTGGCGCCGGTGCCAGACAGTGAGTTTGGGAAAGCTACAGAGACAGCCTCAGTCCCAGGATGACACTGTGTACCGTTGTCCAGAGAGGAATCCTTCATGTTTCTGGCCTCTGCAGGGGCCAGGGGACACTGGCAATCCCAGGTCCTCTTGGCGCAGTTGCAGTCGGGAGAGGACAGGAATGAGGACCAGGACGCAGAGCTGGCTCCCGCCCACCACCTGGGGCCACAGCCCTCCAAGGCCCTGCCCGCCGGAGTCTGCCCAGCTCTGCTGACTCCCCTGCAACAAGCAGAAGCTTCCAGGTAAAGCAGGCCACACACTGGGCTCACCTGCAGATTTCTCTTCCCGGGATCGTGGTCCCCCAACTCCTCCTCATCTGGGGGTCCCTGAAGCCCCCACACAGTGAGCATGGCTCGTCTACCTGTCCCCATCTGCTTTCCATTTCCTAATCTGCCCTTTCAAGCAGAACGGCTTCTTCCCCAGGAATGTGTGCATTTTTTAAAGCTCTGCATACAGGGCAGGCAAAATAGCCCTAGGAATGAGTTTGAGTCAACTGGGGAAATCTGAATATGGTCTGGGTCTTAAGACACAATAAAAATTTACTGAAATGGAAAAGTGATTATTGACTAAAAAAAAAAAAATCAGGTTGTAGAACGATATAATGTCATAAATTTGTTTTTTTAAAATACTCATATCGACACAGAGAGAGACCCAGAGGGATGTGGACACGGCCTGGCAGTGGCACCTCCGGGACGAGGGGTTTCTGTCTGCATGCTCCCCAAGACAAACGAGCTGCGTCTGCGATGATAAAGGCTGTGTAAGCCAGCAGCTCTCCCGGTGGACAAGCGGAGGCGGCTCCTCGGGCGCCCAAGCGTGAGTGCCACAAGGGCTCCCTCACAGGCATGCTGCATTCCTCCCACGCCAGCCCTGGGGAGGAAGGCTCCGCCACCCTCGTTTCTCAGTTGAGAACGTGGAAGCGTGGAGAGGCTCACTGACACGGCCCGGGTCTGACCCACCGCACGAAAGCGACCACAGGCAAGCAAGACTGTCACAGACGGACGTTCCTGCGTGGGAGGAGCCCACGACCGACTGAGATCATCTGATACCACAATTCTCCACTTCGTCTGCATTTTTTGGAGACCCCCTTACCTATCAGCTGAGAGTAAAACTTGGATATTTCTAACAGGGAAAGCACGTAAACCGCAGGGCTGGAGAACGCTGCCATCAACAGTGGCCCAAGGAAGGTCCTGGGGACGACGCCAGGGAACTCGAGATGGTCATACTGCAAAGGGAAGGGCAGGTCAGGACAGGGAGGCCTCAGGAGTTGGGCGTGGGGTTTTCGACCAAAGGCAGCAGCGGCCCCTCACCTTGTCCACGTCCAGCTGGTGGTAGAGCAGGTCGTGTGTGGCCTGCAGGTTGAAGCTCTCCTCTACTTTGGTGTAGGGACAGGTGACCAGGTGGACAGTGGCTACGGCCAGGAGCAGCCCCAGCAGCAGGGGCCGCTTGCTCGACGACCTCTTCCCAGCCATCCAGGGCTTTCAGTTTCACACACCTTCACGGAACCACGCGTACGAAACACCAACCGTGGGCACTTCCACTCTAAGCGTTTTGAAAGAATGAAACGTAGATTCGTAAGTTTCAAAAATCACGCTTGGGAGATCCAGGAGAAGGATAAGCAGGAATTCTGTAAACTACTGTCATAACTCCTGTAAACCTGAAAACGTCAAAATGGAAAGTTAAAACAAAAATCACGCTTCAGAAGCTTTCATATTTTAACCAGCTATCTTGCAGTTTAACCTCTGTGAATACTTTTCTGTGAAGAAAGACTTCAGTTGTGGAACCCTGGGTCTAGCCAGGTCACGCTGGCCTGGGTGGTAGAGCGGGTGAAACAGACCCTGCCCTCAAGAAGCTCGAATCTGGCGTGACAGTCAGCAAAACCCAGACGCAGCCCCCACAGAACTGGTGGGATGGGAGGCTGTGAGGTGGGGGCTGATAAGCTGGGTGGCAGGGACGGCCCCAAGGTGGCCCCATGCTGGCCATGAACCTGAACTGGTGTCCTAAGGGGTACCTGCAATTGGTCATCCAAATATTACCAGGACAACCTCAAGACACCAATGGCATTGAGCTTCCTGAAAAATCATGAAAATACCCAGCTGCTACACGTGGAAGACCTAAGGGGCAGATGGCAGGTTCTTCTTGTTTCTGGATTCTTCTAAAACAGGTTTGATTTTATTCCATCAAAACCAGAAGGGCCAGAAGCAAAGGGAGAGAGAACCATGGTGCTTACTATCTGTAAAAACTACCTTTCCATAGCTGTAGAGTTAAGAAGCCTGTACTCTCCAAAGATAGCAAGTGAAGAATCATAATAACAAATAAAGGAAAATCACCAGCTACTTTCAGAGGCTGTGGCAGGAGGATCACTTGAGCCCAGGAATTCGGGGCTGCAGTGAGCTACTATCCCACTAATGCACTCCAGCCTGGGTGACAGAGTGAGACCCTGTCTCAAAAAACAAACAAACGGGCCAGGCAAGGCGGCTCACACCTGTAATCCTAGCACTCTGGGAGGCCAAGGCGAGAGGACCACTTGAGCTCAGGAGTCCGAGACCAGCCTGAGCAAGAGCGAGACCCCGTCACTACAAAAAATAGAAAAATTAGCTGGACATGGTGGTGCATGCCTGTAGTCCCAGCTACCTGGGAGGCTGAAGCAGGAGGATCACCTGAGTCCAGGAGTTTGCGGTTACAGTGAGCTGTGATGATGCCACTGCACTCTAGCCCAGGCAACAGAGTGAGACCCTGTCTCAAAAAAAAAAAAAAAAAAAAAACCCAAGAAAAAACCAACCAACAAACAAAAAAGTGAAGGAAAATCTGTAGATTAGAAGGGACAGGAATCCTATTTGATATGGTAGTGGGGAGGGGAGGGTGGGGAGAATGGGAAAAAGGGGCTTTAATAATTTGAGATGACCAAAATAGGACGCAGTTCTTGTTAGATATAACATACCTTTTTCCCTATAAAAATCTGCTGACAAACAAAGGAAAAGACCCAAGGACCAGGTTAGGATCCACTGTCCACTGGGTGAGGGGGTGGTTTCCGTGTCGGTTTTTCTCCCACCAGCGCAGCCTCAGCACCAAGGACAGAGCCCGATCTGGTGGGAGGCGCCCCGACGTGCACAATAAATGATGCGTTTGACCCGCTCCCTCGCTGGACACACCACTGCGTCTGCAGAGCCTGGCGTACGGCCAGTGCTCAATGAACTAGCTGAAGAAGAAAATCAGGGAAAACTCTGGAGCGGGGATCTTGTCACATCGCTTACATTTTTATTAAAAATATGTCCATGCTTTAATTTCCAGTAAAGCAGAGAAGACTACAGACTACTCCTATGCTCCTCTCTGTTCTTCTCACTGTCATGAGAGAAAAGAACTTAGAGAACTAGGAAGCATGGGTTCCCTGAGCTGCTGAGGCGGCTGCACAGGAAGTGCCCCTTGGCAGGGCCCTGGCATGGGCCCAGCCCGCCCTCCACACCTCCACCCAGAGGCTCTTTCCGCAAGGAGAATCCAGACTGTGGGATGAAAACGTCATGTCAGAACCCACCCTGGCCCTCCTGCCAGGCCCCAGATAAGGGCAGCGTCTTCCCAAAGGCACGAGAAGGCCGAGTGTGAGTCAGGAGGTCCAGCCAGGAGCACGGAAGACATACGTGGCATAAGCAAGCACGAAACCCACCACCGGGCAGGGCGAGCAGATGGTGCTTGCAGCTGCTCAGCAGCTGTTCTTCATCTGAAGCAACAGGCACCTTGGGAGCATCCACGAGTTAAAACAGGCACTAGTCAAGACTCTTTAAAGATGTGGTTTACAGACCGTTCCTTCTTGGAGCAGTCCACTCTGCCATCTTCGAGAGGAAAGAGGAAGGAAGGAAGGAAGGAAGGAAGGAAGGAAGGAAGGGAGGAAGGGAGGGAGGGAGGGAGGAAGGAAGGAAGGAAGAAGGAAAAAAAGAAAAAAGCAAAGAAGGAAAGAAGCAAAGAAAGAAAGAAAAGAAAGGAAAGAAAGAAAAAGAAAGAAAGAAGAGAAAAGAAAGAAAAAGAAGGGAACAAAGAAAGAAAGAAGGAAAGAAGCAAAGAAAGAAAAGAAAGGAAAGAAAGAAAGAGAAAAGAAAAAAAGAAAGAAAGAAAGGAAAGAAAAACGAAAGATGTGGCTTACAGAATGAGGGCATCTCAGATCAGGAAATGACCTACAGGGCCCTCTTGTACCCGTCAGTTTGGATTCCAAGCCCTCTACTGAAATTGGTCAAATCAGATGTTATTATTAACAACGTTAATAATTATTAATCTCAGCTGGAAACACAAACGATCTGGTGCAAATCAGACCTGCTGCCAACGAAACACCAGATAAAACTCTAGTATTTGTACTTCTTCCTTCTGGCCGTTCTTTTCTACCTCACGGGCAGTTTTCTCTAAAATCCAGAAATGCACATTTTATTTCTCCTAATTTAAACCTGGGGTTCTTAATCCTCAGTGTCACTTCAGGCACATGAGGGAGTGCAGATCCCTGGACCCCCAACGACACCCTGGGGGCCCCACCCCACCCCGGTCCTCCGGGCTTGAGGACCCCGGCCCCTTCGTCCCCTGAGGGTGAGGAGCCCGGCGGCTGTCACGCGCGGACAACCTGAGGAACGCGGGGGTAGCGCTGGCTCGGGGGTCCCCGCCGCCCGCTGGGAGAGCCCGGGTCGTGCCCTCGCCCTCCCGCCCTGAGGGCCCCAGCAGTCGCAGCGCGCGCTGACCTCTCCCGCCTACGGCGTCGTCTCTCGGAGCGCGGCCGCCCGGGTGGCTCTCGGCCGGAAGCGAAGCTGCGGAAACAGAACCTAAGCGAAGCTCTCGCCCGAACCTAACATGGCCGCCAGAGCCCCAGCCGCTGTTGCAGTGGAGCTGCCCGGAGTAAAGATGGCCGCCGCGGGCCGTTCACGAAAGGGGCGGGCTCGGATCGCCACGCCCCCGCCCCAGCCTCCCGGCTGGACGCTGACCCGGGGCCTTCCCATTGGTCGCCGCTCGTGGCGAGCCTGGATTGGGCCACATACGGCCGGGGCGGGTCCCTCCGACCAATAGCGGCGCGGGGCTGGTGGGCTGGGCGGGGCCTCGCCGGCGCCCTCAAGTAGCCGGGGGAACGGCCGGCGCGGCTCGGAGCGGGTGGGCGGCCGGGTGGCCGGAGCCGCGCGGCCGCGGACCTGGAGCGCCAGCCGCGTCTTTCCGCAGCGCTGGCCGCCATGCGCCGGCCGCCCCGGGCCGCGCTGAGGTTCTTGCTGCTGCTGCTGCTGCTGCTGCTGCTGCTGCCGCCCGTGCCGCAGGCCGCCAAGAAGCCGACTCTCTGCAAGCAGTGCCGGGAGCTGGTGGACAAGTTCAAGAAGGTGGGCGGGCCGCGCCGGGGCTGGGCGGGGGGCTGGGGGCCTGCGGGGCCGGGGCCGGGACCGGGGCCGCTGAGGGGAAGGGCGCCGGGGCCGGGCAGCTGGGGGCCGGCGAGGCAGGGGGCTGCGGGGCAGGGCCGGCCTCCTCCGGGCCCAGGTCCCCCGCACACACACTGCGAGCCTGGGGTTGAGGGCGGGCAGCACAGAGCCCGGTGGGCACGTTCTCTTGGCAGGGAATGGTGGACACAGCAAAGAAGAACTTCGGCGGTGGGAACACAGCTTGGGAGGAAAAGACGCTGTCCAAGTATGAATTCAGGTGGGTGCCCTAGAGCACCTGCAGGTAGATCTGTCAGGTGGGCCCTATCCTGAGAAGCCCAGTGTCCTGCCTTGGGTACCTGTGTTAATAACAGGTACACAGAACGGTCCCTTAGACACCACTCACCTGTCCAAGTCGCCTCTGCCTCTGGCCTGGGACTAATGTGCTGGCCCCTGTATGGCCTTCCAGCTTCCACACTGGTCCCTGCAACCCAGTCTCACTCAGAAGACAGTAGCCTTTTAAACATGTAAACTGAAACTGCAGTCTCCCCTCTGTGAACCCCGCTGGGCTCCCTGCAGGAGGGGTAAGCTCCCTTCCCCTCTGCCCAGAGCTCTGGCCCCTGCACCCTGGTGGATGTGCTAGTTCAGGGTCTGTCTCCACTCCAGGGCCTGTATTTCTAGCCTGGCACCAGGCAGGGCCTCGGGACACCCTGTGAGCCCTGCCCCCCGCCGGGTGCTGACTGTGGCTGTGTTTCAGCGAGATCCGCCTCATGGAGATCGTGGAGAGTCTGTGCGAGAGCAGCGACTTCGAGTGCAACCGGATGCTGGAGGAGCAGGAGGAGCACCTGGAGGCCTGGTGGCTGCAGCTGTGAGTGCCCAGGGCCCAGCTCCCGGGCACCACTTGATTTTCTGGCCTGCAGTCCGAAGTCATTTCACAGGGAGAACGGTTCTGGGAACGGCGCAGCGTTCCCGCCTGTCTCCCGTCCTACCCACGTGCTGCCACCTGCATTGTCACCGGACACCTAGAGTCTGGGTCCCAGATCCCGTAATACTCTGGAGCATATATCATAGGAAACTGCATTTTTGTTTTCACGAATCTGTCACATAAGATTTAACGAACGATTTTTAAAAAATCCTTAGGAAGAACGAGCATCCTGACTTATTTGAGTGGTTCTGTGTGGAAACGCTGAAGGTGTGCTGTTCCCCGGGAACCTACGGGCCAGACTGTCGTGGTACGTTTCCTCCTCCTTTGTTCCTGTTAGTCCTCTGCTGATCCCCAGGTGGGTAAGAGCACAGAGGGCAGCTGGGTGCACTGGCTCTCCGTGGGGTCTGGGACCCTGCCTCTTCCATAAGACAGGACAGCACCCACCCACCAAGGCAGCACGGAGCACCTCGGACCCCAGGGCTGCGGCATCACCACTGACTTCATGCAGGGAGATTCTCTGGGCAGTAGGACTTGAGTATCTAATCCCGGCTGCCCTTTTAATGCAGGGGTTCCCAGATGCAGTAGCTCACGGGTGAATAGACTCACCTGGGGGTTGGTCCTAACTGCCCTGCCGGGTGCTTCTCTCTTTATGCAAGGGGGTTGCCACACTCTGGCTTCCGTGGCCACCAGCGTAGCCCTGCCCACAGAGTAACACAGACCCTTCAGTCAAGGGCCAAGGGCAGTGGGCATCCTTCAGGCTGCACACGTGGCCTGTGCCTTCATGGGTGAAGAAGTATGCATTGAAATTGGAGCCACGCTTTACTGTTCGGGTGTTACAAGCATCAGTCCTGTCGTCGAGCTGGGTCAGGTGGCATAAGTCTCAAGGTCAGACCTGCCCCCAGCTGCAGCTGCCCCTCTGCCTCTCCTGCTTTCCCTGGCGAGGACGCAGCAGCTGGGTGCCTGCTCTCCCATGCAGTCCCACACACCTGACGCACAGGTCCTCATCCCTGTGTATCAACTGAAGCTGTGCAAAGCCACACACGGGACCGTCATGCGTCCCTTAATGGTGGGGTCCATGCCTTGGACGATTTCGCCATAACGGGGACGTCATAGTGTCCTCACACTCTGTTCCCGCTTACCTGTCTCCCACACGTCGCCACGCTATTACCAGAGGCACCTGGAGTCTGGTCTCCCTGATCCAGACCACTGGCTTTTCTCTCAAGTCCTCTGGAGAAGACAGGCAGGCGAGACACCGAGGCTGGGGTGCAGCCCATACAGCACGTGGCCGCGAGTACCACAGGAATCGCAACACGACGGCGAACGGTCCTGTCTGTAAACATATCTAAGCATGGAAGAGAGCTCACAATTGTCAGCTCCGTTATACTCTCATGGCAACACCGTGGTGTCCTTGGTCCCTGGTTGACCTGAATGTCATTATGTGGCGCATGGCTGTCAAGTCCACCAACCTGTGGTTTGCCCCCAGGCCAGAGATCCACCGTCAGGCACGCAGACCCTGGAAACCAGTTCTCCAAACGCCAAGCTGGCCAAGCTTGCCGGCTCCGTATTTCCCCACCGGGATCGCGCAGGTCTGGGTTTTAGTGCAGTGTGCCTGTGCGCATGTTGAGGGGTGCAGTGGCATTCTCTCCGCTGGCGCCTCCAGGTGTGCTCAGAGCACGGGTCTCTGTTCCCCAAAGCATGCCAGGGCGGGTCCGAGAGGCCCTGCAGCGGGAACGGCCACTGCAGCGGAGACGGCAGCAGACAGGGGGATGGGTCCTGCCAGTGCCACGTGGGGTACCAGGGGGCGCTGTGCACCGACTGCGTGGACGGCTACTTCAGCTCGCTCAGGAACCAGACCCACAGCGTCTGCACAGGTATGGAGGCGGCAGCACCCGGGCCCCCGGTGGGCGGTGGGAGCAGCCTACTCAGGTGTCAGCCTCTGAACCTGGGTGTCCAGGGAAGTGTAGGAGGCTCAGAAGATGTGGCCCTTATGATACGTGTGAAGGGAAGTGACAGAGGCTATTAGGGGCACTTCCTGTCCCTAAACAACCCCCAGAAGGAAAAAGCTACTCACTTTTCTCTTCAAGTTCTCCAGGACTTAAGGTTTCACCAGCGTTGGATTGGCAGGTTCTGTTATCTTTATCTCTATGCTTGGTTCTCCTGATTCTTAGACCTGGCACCTAGCTGGAGGCCACACTCTGCTCATTCAGTTCCCTGGAATGTTCTGGCAAAAGGCTTGCTCTTCCTGCAGCTATCCCCACAGGATGGATGGGCCTGGAGGGCCCCACAGGGTGTCCCTGGCTGGCTGCAGGTACTTGGGTCGTGTCAGGTACAGGGTGCAGAGGCCAGAACGTGCCCACTGCTGCTCAGACAGCCTGTCAGAGTAAGCAGAGAACATTGCTGAGCCCCCACGCCAGGGCAGGAGACAGGATGGGCAGATGGTCTAGTGTGAGAATTAGAAGGACCCTTAGAGGCCCCTCCCCCCAGCTCCCTTTCTAGGGGGCGCCATCGTGCTTACCCTGGTATTGTCACATGGCCTGGTGCTGGGTGAGGTGGCCAGACAGTCCTGGCCAAGACTCTGGGTGTTTCCCTTGTGGGTGCCCGGAAGCAGAACCTTCTGAGTTGAGACTGACCACACCGCACAGGTGAGCAGGGCCACGCCCCCCTCCTTACGGGACTGGGGCGCACCCTCTGCAGGTGTGGAGCTGCGGAGCTCGCGCACTTGCTGGCTTACACTGTAAGTTTCCTGTGCGGTGGCGTCTCTCTAAGGGACACCTTTTCGCCAACTGTCAGCGACAAGGGGGAAAACTGCGCGTGACGTCTCAGGGTCGAGCTGGTGGTTGGTCTGTGGCTCTCCTGCACGTTCCGTGTAGGGAAACGTGTTGATGCTGGTCAGGACGTGGCCTCCCTGGTCCCCACACCCCAGCTCTCCCTGGCTCCGGGACATCGGTGCCGCACAGGGCACCCGTGGGTCGGTGGCCGCAGCGTGCTCACCCAGCCAGGCGTGGGTCCAGAGCGTGGTGGCCCGCTTCTCCAGGCTATGAAACATTCCCTCGGAGTCCTGGTTTGCTGAGGATTCTATTCTTAACGGGCATTGAAAACCCTGCGTATTTTTTCCTCTTTTGTATATGAATATCATGAATCCTGGGGATAGATTTTTCTGTTGAACTGATCTTATTTTCCTGGGATTTTTCTGTTTTTGTTTGTTACCCTGCTGAACTGAAATCCCTCATTTCTGAAATGAGCTTTGCCCTGCGCTGGTGACAGGGTTCACACTCGTGCCCACCTTTGCCTTCCAGCCTGTGACGAGTCCTGCAAGACGTGCTCCGGCCCAACCAGCAGAGACTGCGGCGAGTGCGAAGTGGGCTGGACGCTCGAGGAGGACGCCTGCGTGGGTGAGGGGCGCGGAGGGCCCTGCGGGATCCACTCCTGCCCAGCCTCTGGCTCTCTCGGCGCTGCCCGCTCTGCGCCACGGGAAGG